AAGTAATTGAGCTAAAACAGCCAGTCAGGTCACTGGGGTGGAACTGTCTTAATTGGTCTCCGAAGGCGCGTCTTCGTATTTTTGTATTTTTCTAAAGTATTTAATTTCTTCTTTGTGGCTTTGGTTTCTGATGATTATGTTGAGATGTTGAGGTGATTTTATGCAATTGATTGTTTGAATAAAATTCTGGTTGATTGTGAAGTTGAACAGTGACTGTTTGTCTTTATGGTTTCACTTTTACACACAACATTAATGGACTTGGGGAGACGAGATAACAACGAGCAACAGGCAGTAAATATCTCGTTTCCCAACAGTGTCCATAGAGACAGGAAGTGGCTCATCTGGTCCACTGGTGCTGTCAGAACCACCTGTACTCAACTTGCTTGAGCCTGTATGACCATTGATTTCCATTAAACCCCTTTCTCAACAACACTACAACTTCTGTGCCTCCCTTATGGTTCATAGGAGCTATCCTTTCTTGGGTGCTGAGATATTTCTGAGACATAGACACTGTTCAGAAAATAGGCACAGCAGAGACTTTCACTTCTTGTGACAAAAAGTACAACCCGCCACAGGAGCTGCTAGTCTTTTACACTGCCGTTTTTCAGTCTGTTCTGTGTTCATCCATCACTGTGGTTTGGCTCATCCACAAAATGGGACAGGTCCAAATTGCAGTGAACAATTAGATATGTAGAGAGGATCATTGAGTCTGAGCTTCCCTCCATCCAGGAGTTGTAAAGGTCTAGGGTTAGGAAAAGCTAAAATCTCTGCACCCAAAGTCAATTTCCTTGTTTGTGTTCACAAACTTGGCAAACAAACATGATTCTGATGACTTATTCCGATCATAGTAACTATTTTTGCCAAAACACAATAAACTATATGCTACTGTTAATACCCAGGGAAATAACATTAATTTGTGCTTTCTAAGTGCATGTACACTGATTAAACAAACTGAGTTTTACTGAAACAGTGACTGGAACAACTTTCGTGTTTTATTTCAGCAGTCTTCAGTCAATATTTCTGAGTACTACAGAAGGTTTCTCAGCTAAAAGGGACTTTAAATTACTGTATTTTCTGCACTTATAAGGCTCACCGGATTATAAAGTGCACCTTCAATGAATGGCCTTTTTTAAAACTTTTCATATGTAAGGCGCACCACATTATAAGACTCATAGAATAGACGCTACAGTAGAGGCTGGAGTTACATTATGCATCCACTAGATGGAGCTGCACTAAACAAAATGTCAACAAAACAGTCCGACTCCGGTCGGCGAGGAGAGCCTTCCGCGACTGGGCCGGGGCGTGGCCGGACGATGGTCACCCTTCTCCGTTCGCCAGCATGTTCGTGGAGAACGTGGTGCTAAATGACCTGCAGACGACCTGATTCTAGACGGTCGGTAGGTAGATAGGTCAGTCAAACTTTATTAATAGATTACAAACCAGCGTTCTGACGACTATCCCAGCATGCACCGCGCGCTTCTTCTTCTATGGGCGAAAATGAAGTTGGCGGCTGCTTACTGTAGTTGCTAGACCTGTTGTGGCTCAATATTGGTCCATATATAAGGCGCACCGAATTATAAGGCACACTGTTGGCTTTTGAGGAAATTGAAGGTTTTTAGGTGCGCCTTGTAGTGCGGAAAATACGGTAGTTCTTATCTAAATTGACTATTAAGATAAATGTGTTCATCTTGTGCCAAATTTGGTGATGAAAATGGGGAGGGGGAATATTTGCATCTTTTCTAACAAATTAGTATGTAGACCTTCTCTTTGACCACAACTATGATGTGCTGTTCTAAAATTCAACTTTTACTAAGTTTAACTGACTATGTTGGGGCCTCTTAGTTTGTTTTTATAACTCCTTGGTCTTGTCATCACAAGGAATAATTGTTTAACTCTATGATTATATACCTGAATGTTTGGGGTAGTTGTCTTACTGTATATGGGATTAATGTAACCTTCTTTATACGTTAGGAGAGAGGGAACATCTGCCTGGAAATCATCATCTGTTAACAGCTAGTTTTGATTTACATCTGGACATTTAATCCATTTCAAGGAAAACACAAATGTTTGAGTTCCATGTATCATCTTTCTCATGTCTGCTTTCATTTCAATTCATGCTTTTTCTCACATGGACTAACACTTTATATTTTACAGACAGTAAAGAAAGGCATTCCCAACCTGGAGGAAGTTTCTTGCTTGTAAAAAATATGTTTATGTCTGCAAATAGTTTTGTTTATATGTCAAGAATAAACGCTTTTAGCTTTGCTCTCCAAGGAAGGAGGGGGAGAAGGATCACATTTTCCCCTTCTTTCTTTGAAAGATGCAAAGCCTTTTCCAAAAAATCTTGTTAGCTGGCAGCTATTTAAAATGATGTTTCTTGATGGGGTTTTTTTTTCTCAGTTCCTGAGCTATGTCAAGTACCTATTCATTAACTACAAGCATAGTAAAAGACATGAGTGTGCCAAGACCTCATGTATACCATCTGTTGGTTTGTGGTGACTGGATATCTGAAGTGTTAAAAGCACTGCTTATTTAGAAAACGTTCTTCTCATTAATCAGGATCAGTGCTCGTCCTGCTAATGATCCACATGAGACTCAACAGACCTCAAGCTACTTCCCTCTCCTCCAGTTCCCTGACCCTGCTTTCTAGGAAAACCCACCTCTCTAAGCAATTACTCTTTCCAGCTCTCATGGACTCAAGTACCCCTGGTCACTCCGCTCTGCTTTGCTTCCCTCTGGCACACTCTCTGTGAGATGGTGGTTATTGGGAGAGGTGGGTGCAAATGGAGCAGAAAGGCTCATCTGCGTGTTACATCTTGGGATCCTTCGTTCTAAATTGGCATAGGAAAAAAAAAAAAGGTTCAATGAGTGCTCTCCTGCAAGCATCTGCATATGCACCCTAAAAGACAAAACATTATAACCATCCACCTTCTATTTAGAAGATTTTGTGAATTTGGGCACAATAAAGCTTACACTGACAATATCGTCTGCTTATTGATAAGTTTTACAGACTTCAGCTTTTATGATTGTATCTGTAAGCAGATACAATCCTTGAAATTGTTGAAATTACTGGAGTTGGTTATGAACAAACTCAAGCACATCCAACTTAATTGTTTGAAGGAAAAAAAACAAAACATTTGTGATGTTTATTACCAAATAAAGTTCAAGTTGTATCGTGCAAAGTCTCTTGTTCTGTCACCAGTGGACGACTGAGGCTCAGTTGGAATAGTAGTTGTTTTGCTATCTAAAAATTGTGGATTGTATTCCGGTTTCCTCCTGCCACATGTCAAATATTCCCTTTTGCAAGGCACTCAACCTCAAGTTGTCTGTTCATTTGTATCAGTGTATGCATGTGCGCAATAGGTTAGATTTCAGAGTAAAGTACTTTGAGAAGTTAATATGATTAGTACTAGATATATTTGCTAAATGAATTTATAACATTTCCAATTTACAAGGTCTGGCATGCTACTTTTAGTTGTAGGGGATGATTAGTGGACTGAAAACACTAACAGTGCTGATTGGCCACTTAGTACAAAAGCATCTATGCACCACAGCCAAAGAGTTGACCATTTGCAATATAGTTTATGGTGAATATATTTTGTTAAGGTGCATCTTTTTTGCTTCAGGATGTCGACAGAAGAACTGTAACTGACTGGTGAAGATGTAAACATTACTACCATTGATTTCTTCCTAAAAAAAAACGTAACTTACTGTTGAACCTGAAACAACTACGGTTACTAACCTTGAACAAATTAGAAAAATTCTCACAATAATCTAAAAGTAAACCATTTTATTGAAGTCGAGCAGTAGATGAAGAATTAAAAGACCAAGATGTTTTTGTGAAAAATGTCATATGTTTCTTGTCTTTAAAGGTTTTATTTTTATGTTTTTACCTTCTATATATTTCTAGTTAAAATGTTGCTGTTTGCACAGATTTTCTAACTAAAAGCATAAAGAAAATCTAAGTGGGAGCTGAGAAGTTCTTTTGTATCTTTCACCAAACGCCCTCAGTTGTCTCAAATCATCGTTAACTCAGAGATCTTAATTAACAACTCATTCCTTATGAAATGAAAGAAAGCCCTTTGTAATTTATGTAATCAAATATGGAAACATGTAATCATTTTAAAGTCGAGCCTACCTTTTTCCATACTGTCAAAATGCAAACATTGTCTTTCTACTTTACTGCAAGCTTTGCCAAAGTTTAACTTATTATGGAGGAACAGCAATTGTTAGTTACAGCATGGAAACAAATATTACATCACTCTTTGGTACAAAGAGTCTTTGTTATTCACAGATGGGATTTTCCTCAGGCAGATCTTTGCTTCATCTTTTATTGTTACTGAACACTCAAGGTGTCGAGCTGTTTGCTTTACAAACAGCGAAAATTACCGTGTCCTACACTGTCAAAGAAACATATGAGGTGATAGAGGACACCACATCCGAGGCTCTCTTGTCAGACCACAGCGTCGCTATTAAGCACTTTGTCTGACGCATTTGAGAAGGGCTTTCTACTGGGCTAATTCAATTGACTAGATTGATTAGCAGTTAAAAGCCTTTCTTCCTCTGGGCAGAGGAATCTGTTCCCAGTGCTACCCAGTGGGCTACCTTGAGCTAGGCCAGCCCGCCAGATCAGTTGGTGCCAGGTCCACTTCCTGTGTAGAGTTTCACTGGGCACGATCAATACTCCTAGACAGTTAATTGGATGAACACTGACACTCACATTTCTCCTCTCCCCACTTTATGGTCCATTCAGCAGGAGCTGAATGGGTTTTCACATGAGTGTCCTGTCCCTTTACAGCACATGATATAACTGCAGAGATTATTGTAATGCAGTTTGGAAATGGGCTACATTATTCCTATATTAAGGTCGATTAAGAGAATGCGCCGTTATACGATGAAATGCCGTACCTGAATGTGAAGTCGCAGCACACATGTATTGATGGCACTGAAATTGTGATACTGCTTTGATCTGTTTTCTCTTTCCCGTTTGTTCTGAACAGCATGACCAAGTACGACGTGAAGAACTACTTGGAGAAGATCTATAACGTCCCAGTTGGAGTAGTTCGCACCAGGATACAATTTGGTGAGGTTTTCTAGCTATTTGCACAAAAACTTAATACTCTACTAACCTTTAAAGCTAATCATAAATAGAAAGAACAATTCATTCCTATATCTTGAAAACAATTTAGAATATTTAGAAATTGAATTGAGCCTGCTTTCTCTAGTAATTTGTCAGAAAACTGAATTTGAAAATCAGCTGTTGCATTTTGAGCCATCCCATTTTTCTTAAAAAAAAAAAAAAAGTTTAATCCAGTTGAAATCATGTTTTTTTCCACTTAGGGTTTGCAAGGTTTAGAGAAAAAGTGTTTTGGGAAGCATAAAGTCAAATCGATTCTGTTTAAAAGACATTTAACGGTGATTAGCAGTTTCATCTTATGTGCACAATTTTCTATTGAAATGCAGCCGCAGGAGTGTTTTTCAGCGGCCAAATGCGGTATTGGTTCTCATGCCTGGTCCTCCTTTTTCTGTGCACACACACACAGCTGCTTATCTGACAATCTGCTGTTGCAGCACTCTGGCCTCCAGCTGTTCCAGATCACACCATGCTTCCTCCAGACATGCACATACAGTTCACAGTCTACCTAACTTAAGGATCCTCTATTAGGAGCGCTGATTATCTCTTTGCCAAAAATGATTACGCAATCAAGATTAGTGGTATTTCACCGCATTAACAATGCTTTCTAACATCTTTTTTTTTTCCTTAAGGAAGAAAAATGCAGCCATGTATTTTTTACAGACTCATTTGGTTGCTCCATACAGAGAGCAAACAAATTAAAAAGCTGTTTGCTTTCTGTTTTTTTTTTTTTTTTTTTCCTAAGCTTCCACCGTCTACCTGTGAAGGAGGTAGAGATTGGTCAGTCAAACCAGTCAGACCAAGAAGGTATCATGGGGAGAGAGGCGCCTAGCATATAGAGTGGAGAAGCAATTAACACTGTTTATTAGGATTGTGTCAGAGGCTACAGGAGGAAAGAATGCTCCTTGTTGTAGCGAGTTCAAGGAAAGCTGCAAGTCTTCAAGGGATGAAGTGGGATGGAGAACAAAGGGCAGCTGAAGGCCCCTGGTTTTCCCGAGGTGCGTCAGAGAAGGTATCCCTGTCTGCGTCAGGGGTTCCACTCCATTGGCAGTGTAAAGACGGGACTGGACCAAGAAGAGCGAGGGGTGCAAGCAACTCTTTCTTCCCTCTTGTGCGGCGGGGGTATTTTGGAAGGTGTTGCCATGGCTACCTCTCCAGTCTGGGATTTGTAACGTGATAGCTGGTTGCCAGACCGCAATCTCAATGTGGGAGAAGTTGTGCTTGCGTTTGCGAGTGTTCTGTGAAAGCTCTGTCTGTGTGTCTTTTTTGTTAGGGAAAACCTTCAAGAGGCGAAAGATCTTGTTTGGTGTCTTTTCAAGGTGTGCAGTTATGTTTTCGATTTGTCATAATATTGCCGTACAAGAGTTGTAGTAGTAGTTTCCTTTTGGTTTTCCTCAGCAACCTGAACACATACACGAATGTGCAAACACACATTGGCACATACACTTGGTTACCTCTGTGTCCCACCCACACAGGGGCCTCCATTTAAGCATGGTGGTGTGGAGGGGGTGTTTTACAACCCTGCTTAGGGCTTTCCCTGAGCTGTGTGCTGCCTAGCTAGTGATTACAAGCTATATAGTATGTGTGTTTTTGTGTGTGTGGCACAAAGCGCACACACTTATGTACAAATGAGTCATTACAGGGGAATGTTTCCCTTGTTTTTCATGTCATAAACCGTTCCCATGGCAGTGGCAGTTACTCCATGGGCCTGTGGACTTGACCACCAGGGTCTTATTGAGATTTGCATCTCAAGGAGGGAGAATCTATTTGATAATTTGCCATTGTCCTTCACTGACGGTACCATTTGTCAAATTCACACCTGTGTGAAATCCCTTGAAGTTGTAGGAATTAATGGATCTCAGTTTGACTAAATGCTGCCCCACTCCCACAAGTGTACACATTTGCTACACTTAGCAGCTCAGCATGTCCCCTGTTTTCGAGACTTGAAGGTATTGGAAAGGTGAGACAGAAGAGATTGACATTATTATCTGAAGTTGATAAAGAGCATAATCTATGCTGCGCTCTCAATGGGATGGAGCATTGTCAGGCATTTACACCAACAGGGAAATTAAACACATCCATTCTCCTCAAAACATTTCAAAGCATGCTATTTTAAACTGTTGAAGTGAAAAATGCACTGAATATCTTTTTTTTTTTCTTTTTGTAAAGCTCCTCACAGTTATCAATAAGTAGTGTCGCAATAAGATTAGCACGCATTTTGCATAAACCATTTTGCTCTGTGTTTTTCAGGGTCCAACAAGAAGAGGAATCACCTCAACCAGAGGGTCAAGAAGCCAGATTATAAAGTGGCCTACGTTCAGCTGGTGAGAACTCATGTTAACGTTATGCCTTTCAAAAGTATTCACTCCTGCAAGTGTTTTATTGCATGTCTTCATATGGATGGAAGTAAGAAACAAAATACATGTTTCTTACTTTTTTTTTTTCCCCAACTAAAAATTTGACATGTGGGGTGCTTTTGTAGTAAGCCTCTTCTATTCTGATACCCTTAAATATGATCCGGTGCAACCTACTGCCTTTTTATATGAGAATCTGAGAAATTTAGCTGATTAGATTGTGGCTGTTGACTGACTATAATTAGTCACATTGGCTAAAGCTCCAATAGGCTTCCTTAATGTTAGTTAATTGGTACTATGACAAAATACCAAACTGAATTGCATTTTCATTTGTCATCAGGTTAATGAAGCCAAAGCAGCTTAGGGTGAATGGTACTAAACTTGCATTTTATCTGCTTTTTCTCCGGTTAGTGTTTTGCGTAAGCAGGATTATTTTACTAACTCCTGTGAAGTACACAGTGGGAGGCAGAGACTTCACCACATTAACAACCAGTACTCCCTCCTTTTTTTTTTTTTTTAGTTATAAATCATTTACACTGCTGTGAAAAAAGTATTTCAGAAATCTGCCAGGGGGGCACCGACATGTTTCTAATCGCCAACAAGGCGGAAAGATGATCAAAATTCAGTTTCTTATTTTTAAAACATTTCATTTATTAAATAAAATAAACCTAGCCTAACCAACTTGGCCATTAGTGAAAAAGTGCTTACTGCCTGTTCCACATTTGGTGCTAATAAATGCCATCAAACATTTGCAATAACTGGAGTTTTAAACATTGATGTGGAGCAATTTGTCCCCCCTCTCTTCTCTGTTATGTGGGAAAAAGCCCCACTGTAGTGTTTTTGACCATGAGTGGCCTATTTAAGGTCATGCCACAGCATCTCTGTCAGTTAAACCGAGAGTTTGACTTTGCCACGTCTATTTATACTCCTTTTTAAGGCTTTTTAAGCCATTCAAAGCTCCACAGGAGCGCTTGCTGCTGGATTTTATCCTGCTAAAGCAAGATCTTGCAGGATCAGGAAACCCCTGGTTCAGAGAGTCTTGATGACTTTTGATCTTTTCAATGGGAGAAATCTTCCCTGAACTTTGTTTGAAGTGAGGCTCGTAATTCCAGTCTCCATGGCAGATCAACATCAAAACACCCATGATAAGTTGCCTGTCCAAGTCAAAGGTCCGAAACCTTATGACGACAGCGTGCGCAGCGAGTCCCCTTGAGACATTTTGTTACGCACAAGCGGGTAAGAAATACAGGTTATGAGAACCAGGAGGCAGTTGTGTGCGTTCACAAGTGTAATCGTTTAATTTCATTGTTTATATGTAGTTCCAGGGGCCACAGTCAGTGATTTTTATCACTGCAGAGAAAAAAAAAAAAAAAAAAAAGTTGCATGTATTTCTCTGCTTAATGTGGTGGCACAATTTGCACTCTTGGTTCAGCTTGTTGGAGCCGAACATTAATTTCAATGTGTCGTTATCATTTTTAAAATTGATGGACAACGATTGTAACTGGATTGTTTTTACCCCATCTGTCAAAATGACGGGCAGTAAAAATAAGTCTACCACAACCTCTGCTTCTGGCTTCCTCTGTGGTTCTCTGAAGTTCAAAAGCTTTAAAAATGACTTGAAAACCATTTTTAGATTGATGAATGTTAATGACTTTGTTTCCCATCTGTCCTTTGATTTCTTTTTAATGGGGCGTGACATGTTTAAACTACTTCATGTTATCACACAGTTATTTCTTAAATTTACAGTTCTTGCATTAATCAGAAACGGACTGGCAAATTAAAATGAACCCAGACTTTGAAAATATATAAGCACATCCATTATTTAATAAGAGAAATGATGGCTTTTTTCTGTGTTGTCAGTTTAGATAGATGTTTTCCTTAATGAACTCAACGTTTAGAATCTACACTTTGTATTTAGTCGTGTTACCTTTGATATTAAAACCCGTTTGGAGTGACAGAAAAGGGAAAACAAAACTGTCAAATGCCGTTAAATGTTTTTGTGGGAAAAACCTGCCAGGGAAAGAGATGAGATGGTCAGTGGTGGTCAATTCTTACAGGCTTAATTGGGCAATTGTTGTTGTGGAAGGTGAGTTTTTACTTGCTTTTCATTAAATACACTCATACAATTTGCACAGAAACATTTTTATTTTGCATGTTTCTCTTTAGTGGCTTATGCACTCTATCTGCCCTTCTGAGTTCTCACTGAGCCTAAGGTGGTTTTCTTTGGTTACAGACTTTTACTGTAAATATGGAGATGGTATTATGTGGCGTACTTCAGGTTTGTTCGTTGCGCCACAAATTAATTGTACAAAAATGATGCCATTTTATGGCAGTATATCAGTTTAGATTAAATTCAGGGAGACCCCCCTCACCCCAAAATAATTTTTCAACTGCTCCTGATGCTTACACGAAACACAAAGGGCCTTTGTGATAGATATTTTCAACTTGCTCAAATAAATCGGATGTGGTGTAGACACTTCTTTACCTCACATCGTGAGGCACCTTGGAGCCATCAATCATGAAAGGATGAATAATGAAAACTGTTTAAACAAGACAGTTTGAAAGGTGATACATAATTGATCTGATAATGAATGTTTTAAAGAGAAGACTTCCTCTTGTTTGACAATAAGGAAGTGGCTTGTAATTTTTTTTTGGGGGTGGGGGGAGAGGAGGGGGTGTTGTTACTGGTTTTTCCAGCTGGACCAGACAATGATAGGTAGGAGGCTGTTGAACACACACCTACGTCTGCACATCTGAGACCTGCTCCATCATTCACTTACTGCTGTCTTTTCTTCAATAACTTGCCCCGACTCTCTGGATGAAATCCCGTTTAAGTTTCTCTGGACATGCTCATTTAGGGATGAACAGCATGCAGGCATGCTGAGATGCAAACTCTTTGTGCATAAAATGGCTTGATACAAAACCAAATATCCGGCCTATTTCTCTGGCAGGTTTTCAGAAAAACATGTTCCCTCAACTCCCTTTCCTACCACACACTTTTCTAGGTTCACTCACACACTCTCTCACACACGCTCACACACACACACACACACACACACACACACTCCAAGAAAAACCCTCCCTTCTTTTGCAGCGGTCGGGAGAAAACAAGATTGTTCCTAATTGACTCCACATGTCCAAGAGTGTTCTGTGGGTAGATGCTCACACCGCAGTCCCCCCTGTTCAACAACCCTCATCCTTCCCGCTCCCCCTTTCTCTTCCCCTGTTCCCTCCATCAGCTAGTGTTGCAGCAGTAATAGATTTGTGCACTTTCTCTTGCTCCTTGATCTTGGGTTTTGGTTGAGGGGAGGCCTCCCAATAGCGGGGTTCCGTGACGGCCATTTTCCTCAGGCTGAGAGGGGGATCCCAGTATCGGGGCAAGAGATAGCATCTGCATGTGTGAAATTTGCGCTGTGTGTGGGAAACTGTGTATATATGTGTGTGAGGGGCTGCGAGGGGTAACCGGGGGTGGTGACTAAGGCCATGATGGAGTTATGCCAGAACAGGGAGGTCCAGAGATGGGGCAAAGCTCTCGGGCAGAGGAGGAGGAAGCTGAATATAAGAGAAGGAAGGGGTGGTGTTGGGGGTGACAAAAACAGCAGCAGAAAATGAAAAAGCCTGGAGTCTGACCCTGCAACTTTTAGGTCTTGCTGCCTTGTAGTAGGACTGTTGGGTTTAAACTCAGACTGCTTTTATCCAACGCTGTGCCCAAGGTAACACTTGGTTCAGATTTTTGCACCCAACTCATATTGTTCCGTCCGTTTGATGCAGTAATGGGTGGATGCTGGAAAATCTGATCCTGGATTGGACTTTTTGACCTCTGTGGTAGACATTACTTCATGTACAGTTGGTATAATTAGATTTGTCTGGTTCACGGTGCATTCGAATAACAAAATTGTGATGAGGCTTTAAATAACCTCTGAAATTTTAAAAATAGCAGTACATTTATCAGAATCCTGTGTGGAAAGTGTGCCGCAAAGCCTTTTTCAAAAGTGAATTCTGTTGCTTTAAAGCTTTTTTTTTTTTTTTTCCTGAGACGTATTATTATTATTTCAAACCTTGTGGTTGCCCTTTATTAAATTACCTGGGTTAATCTCACCCATCTAACATATGTTTACCCCTCCATTTTAAGTAATTGTTTTTCCTACTTAAAAGCTACAGTTTTTATTTTTTTTTTATTTATTTTTTTTTAGATAATATCATTTCCAAACATTTACAACTTAGTCCTCCGTGCTTCGTTTGACAAAAACGCTCTACACTTTTTTGGAGACTTTGTCATTGCATCTAACCGAGCAGTGAAGCTCGCATCAGTTAGATGCGAGCTTCACCAACTGGGACAAGCAGCAGCACTTCAGTGGGCTGAGTGCTCGAAGTGCAAGTTGAAAGCTGTTGAAGAGCGATGCTGAGAGTATGGGACATGTGACCATACCCATCTTTTCAGTTCACTGTTACACTGCTGAAAATGTCGTCTGAGCCAGTTACTGTGCAGAGATTTATGCTCGTCTTTCCTCACCAGTTTCTGTTCATATATCTGCATTTTGCTGTGGGAAATCCTTCACTGTAGATCCGTTGACATATGACAGTGATTCCTTTTAGCAATTTGGTTACATTTACAGTTGCACTTTTGCAGGACACTCACACACCTCACTCAGCAAATAGTACTTTTGTTTTATGATTCTTATACATGTGTGTCGTATTACAGTGACAGTGCAGAAATGACCCACAGAAGATTTCAGAGAATACATTTTCTTCCACCGAAATAGCTCCAATGCTAGATCATAGCCTGCGCAGGCAGATATGCAAACCATTTATTTTTTATTTTTATTTTTAAATGAAAGAAATGTTTGCAGCATCCAGCAAGTTCAACAGCAAAGATCTATTTTAGTTTGGGGATATTGCTGTGGCCTTATTTAAAAAAATAAAATAAAAATTAAACGAATTAGATTCAGGATGAGAAGATAAAACTTGTA